CTATCCTCGGCAGGGCGATTCCGCGACCGCAAGCCGACCAATTGCGAACGAACGTTACTATCGAGCGATCCTGGCGCTGCACAGCGGGGGGAACCCTCCAGACTGAGGCGAGCAAGGGCAAAAACGGACAAAGATCGGCAAGGAGCTTTCACTGAGGCGAGCTACGGCTTGGCTGGAAGAAAAGTATGACGAGGCAAACGGCAAGAGGAGAAGGAGGAGGAGGAGGAGAAGAAGAAAAGGATGAGGAAGACAAGGAGGAGGAGGAGGAGGAGGTGGAGTAGGAGTAGGAGTAGGAGGAAGAGGAGCAGGAGGAGGAGAATAATGAAGAGGAGGGGGGGGAGGGGACGAATACGAGAACCAGCGCGCGTCGGTGAGGAGGGGGACAGGGCCCGAATGAAAAAGAACCGCAGACGAGCCAACGCTCTGCTGCCGGAGGCGCGGTTCGACCCAGTGCTCGGGCCTCCCCCTCCTCCTCCTCCTCCTCATCCCCCTCCCCCTCCCCCTCCCCCTCGAGTTCGTTTTCCAGCGTGAGCTGTCGAACCATTGATGGCTTGAGCCATAACGTATACGGATGGTCGAATAAACATTCAAACATATCTCGAACATCTCTGATGGTTCTGAAGCCTCTTACCCCGAACTCATACACACAATCTAACTCCGATGCCTGTCCTTTACAGGACCGTAGGAAAACAAACATATAAACGGAGCGTGGAGCGATCCACTACTGCTTAAAATCAAACAGCTTGGCTCTAACTACGTAGCTTCTGAAAGACATGCAACTATGTTGTTCTAACATCAGGCTGGCTAGCTAGGCTACAGTGGGGACTCCTGTGCTTTCCGAGCTTTATCGAGGAAGCTGGAGGTAGGACGAGTGAGGAGCAGCAAAACGCACAAGCAAACGCTCATTTCTCCTCATCACATGATATGATACATGTCTCTCGCGGGTAATCTCCCACGGCTGCAACGTGTGTCGTAGTAGACGTCGTAGTACAGCTACTCCTGCAGATTCTCGATCTCCTTCTCGGTAGCTTCCGGGTGTTGAACTGCTCTCTTGTGTCGCACTGCCAGGCCCTCGGTGAGGGTGATCTTCCACTTGCCTGTAGTGCAGTATATCAGGAGCTGATCGAACCAACCTTCCTTCGTGAGAGCGTCCGCGAGCATGATTCTGGTCGGAACGTGTAGCAGTGAACGGATACGATGATGAACGCGATCTTCTCGAAGTGCCATGATGGCCACTCTCTGTGACTTATTAGACGGTATACCGCGGCCGCCTGTGATCAGCTCGAAGAGGTCCATGCAGTCTGGCACTGCATCATGCGGTATGATGGTAGTATCATTATGACTCAGCTCCAACATGTCGTGCGCGGTGATCGTCGTTCTCGGAGGTAGCACCATCTGGCAGAACAACTCCGTCAGCCTTGCCGCAATCAACTGGCCCATCTGAGTACAACCGATGGCTGATAGCGTCTCTGCATGCGAGGTCGAGTGCGAAACTCGCGAAGCCTTGCGTGCACTGAAGAACAACATGTGCGCATAGCCTCCGACCTTGGACAAGTCCTGGCCCGCGATCCACTCGGGCGTGTCTATCTTGATGTCGTCGTGCATCATCATGACAAACTTGCCTTCGTACGGGTAGCAGCTCTTCTTGCTTGCATGCCCGCAGTCGTGAACACTGCAGATTCTCAGTGGAAGCGGTACTTGATAGTAGTGCAGGCCGGTCATGCCCTTCGTCTTGCGAGCCTTTGCCAGTACACGATTGGCTGTCTTCACGCGTTGAACCTGACGCCACACCATCTCCGACTGCAGAGAAACCACATCATGAGCAATATCCACTCGCGTGTGGCATAGCCACAGTAAACTGCAAACCAACGATCTGAACTGGTGGTGCTCGTGCACGTCCAGCTCCTGGAGGTCCTTCTTGGTGTTGTACGCATTTGTGAACTTGGCCTCCGGTAGCTTCTCGAGGTTGCGCTGCTGGTGAACCAGCAGATGTCCCGGGGTGAGCATCTCGCGTCTCATGCCCAGGTAGGTGAACGGAAGGCCTGTCCTCTTCGGATTTCCGAACTTCTGTCCGAGCTTCTTGGCAATGTGGTCGAGGTCCTTCGTCGCTGCTAGAAGAAGATCATCCACGTGAATGCCACGCAACGATACAACTTGCCAGCCATTGATGATCATCAGGAAGCACTCGTCGCGGGCGCTCATCCTGTAGCCAATGTCCGCCTTCAAATAATGCAACAGCGCCAGCTGCCACAACAAAGGAGCGTCCACCAGACCATACAACGCCTTGAGGCACTTCAGGATGAAGTGTGGAATATCTCCATCCAGCACGGTAGTCTTACTCTTCGGGATGTTCCTCCAGTGCCTCCAGATGTTCGCCGGCGGGCGAAACCAGACTTGGCGCGCCTCCTTGACCTCATGGCCTAGCTCCTTCGCCTTGGCCACGACCTCTGAGAACTTCAGGCCTTGAAGAAAAGCTGTGGAGATGTCGAAGCTCTCGAGGGTGCACAATAGCATGTGGCTTAACCTTGAGGCTGTTGACGAATGGCGGCTGACTGTTGTCTTCTGGCGATCTAAGAACCCGCGACCGCAGCACCTTGACTTGACAATTCGCTCCTGCCGATTCTTCCACTTGCGGACCCAGGTGCCGTCGACGACATTCGCGGCATTCGAAGACAGGTCGGTCTCAAAACATCGTGGCTGTAGAGTGATACTGCCTCCGCATAGTCGCCGATCTCTATAACATCCCAGTTGTCGATCACCTCTTGAGGTGCGAGGAGGTCGTCAGAAGAAACCGAGAAATACTGGTCCTCGCGAGTGTCGTAATAGAAACACATGGGCCTCGTCATTGGCCCCTCAAGTACTGCAAACGCCTCTGATGCTGTCCAGGGTAACTCGCCTCGCTCGGCCTGCTGACTGAAGTGCAGAATCTGCTCGGCGTCGGCAATAGCATGTGTGAAATGCTCCTCGTCGAAGTGAGGATTGAAGCCGACTGGAGCCACATGGCGCAAAGGCTGTCCCAGTCGATGCTCCGCATGATGCACATCAAACCACACCTGATAGCTGTATAGCTCGAGCTTATCCTTCTCGCTCGTTGCCGGGCCGTAGTCGATAGTCTCGTCGACGCCGGCGGGATCAGCGATGGGCAGGACTGGCTCTGGTGGAGCTGGTGCCCCCGATGCTGTCGACGCCGCTGAGGCGCGGACTCCAGGCGCCACTCGATCATCAGGCGGAGCTTCTGGTGCATCTCGCTTCTGAGGCTGCGTTCTGGCTGCAATCGGCGTTGCTGCAGGTCGATGCTGTAAAGATTAGTGTCGGATTTGTCGGTCGTGCTCATCGCGTTGGGCTCGTGGATCTGGAGCAGGTCCATAGTCTCTCGTGCGACCCCTATCCAACTCTGATGCAGTAGGCGATGGTCCTTCGTGACTTACTCCTGGTAGAGGCATCTCCGGTAAAGGTCCTAAGATTGGCTCCTCTGGCTGGCCGTAGCCAAGTGTAGTCTGACTGGCTGGTGAGGACGGCGTTGATGCTTTAGCCGCTGGAGGCGGCGTGGCAGCTCGCAGAGGTGTCGCTGAGATAGCCACCTCTGGTCCGTTGGCCACTGGCTGTGGCGTCTTCGGAACGGCCACATCCTCACTCGGTAGTGGTACACGTCCTGAGGTTGCCTTCGGTGGAGGAGCCCGCTCGAACACTCTCGATCTTGACCGATCTGCCTTAGCTGGTGAACCGCTTGACGATTCCGACAGCTTGACGATGTCAGCGTCTGCCTGGTCGTCGGGGTCGATCGCGCCTGGACTCACAGGTGGTGCAGGCGGCGGAGGAGATACAGGCATGAACCCTGCGGCTGCTGCAGGTGGCGCTGCTGGAGCAAACCCCTGCGGAACGGCGCCTGCTGTTCCTCCTCCTCCTGGCGGCGGCGGCGGAGGCCGCATGACGCCTGCTTCGACCTCGGGTGTGACGTCGAACGAGACGTCTGGAGATAGTGGCCTGCGCCTCGCTGGAGGAGGTGTCTTCGGTACATAAGGTTGCGCTGCAGGCCTTGCTATCTGCTTCGCAGCTGGAGCCTTCACTGCTGGCTGAGGCTGCTGAGGCGGCTGAGGTGGCGGACCGCCTGGCCTTGGAGGATCTCCAAGACCTCCTTGTTGCCGATGGTCATCTTCATTGTCGCCTGCCTCGAGCCAAGAGCCTCCAAACGACGTCCACGGTGATGCTATCCATGGAATGGGAGACGGACCGCCAACTCCACTGAGGTCAACTTCGGGCGTGTCCTCGATCTCGTCGTTTGGCTTGCTGTAGCTGAAGTACAGCACGAAACTCTCGTCCTTCCAGGGGCCTGAAAACGAGTGCGGCAGCGCCTTGTCCGGCACCGCGTCGCGGATCATGTAACTCTCGCGTCGGCTGTTGTTCCAGGTAATGAGCTGTCCGCGCTGTGCTGACATGGCATCCGTCCTCTTGCACTTGTTGCCGAACTGGACGCCGTCGAACTTCGTGCCGTTGAGCACTCCAGTGAAGACCTTCTGAGCCACTATCCACACCGGCGGAGGATTCTGCTCAAGATCAGGCGGCGCGACGATATAGCTTCGATCCGCACTCGAATAAACCAGACCGTAAGTATATGACGAGAAGGCCGCTCCTGTCTCTACGATCTCCATCATCTGCTTGACCGTGTCGTTGAACTCGCGCTGCACGGCATGGGCACGGCCGCCGTGAGACTTCTGCTGCAAGAGCCATTCGAAGCCCACGTGTGGGTGGAGGTGCCTGATGGGCACAAGCATGATATGGCCTCTCCAGTCGACCACTGCCTTTGAGCCGTCCTGGTAGACCTTAATGACCTCACAGGGTCCACGCCAGCCTGGATCGTCCTTGGAGTCTGGCTCGCGCCAGAGATCGGCCTTCGCACCGTCTATGATCTTCGCGCGGCCCTCGAGCTTGAACTTCTGCATCTTGGTGTTCTGGGCCACTGCCAGACGATCCTCGACGAAGCTCTGCGGGATCGCCTCCTT